TTACTTCAAATCTCATACTCAAAGTTTGTCTTGATTTAGCCTACAAGATTGAATCATTTTGGGGCGTCGAAAGGCTGACTTAGCGCTTTCTCGTAGGGACGGGAATTGTGTTGCGTTAAGACCACACGGTGTCTAGTTTTTCTAGTGTAAGAAATCTAGCCCCGTGACAACTAGCTGTGGATGAAGCCATTGATAACTAGACAATTCCTAGGATTCTGACTTTGCAACTAAGCATCGACTTTCTTGCATCAAATCTTTCATTAGTATTACATGAAGAAGATTTCCCTGAACTTCTTTCATGATCTATAAGAGTTTCCATTCCTACTATACAGAGAAGTGATAATTTTTTTGCTGATATTTTCAAAAGTTTTTTGTTATCATCTTCTGCTCAAAATTTGTATTTCAAGGGAAAACTCGAGTGAGGACAGACTAAGGTAGAACAATCAAAAGCTATATAGGATACTTTGTCTGTTGTATGCCTAGAAACATTTTGCCTTCACAGTTCATTTCTTTGATATTTCTGTATTGCAATTGTGTTATCTTTGGCGGTCATGTGCCAATTTAGCAGTAACAAAAGTAATCTTTTTGGATAAAGTTTGATGAACTGAACAATCTATCAATACAACTTATTTCATTCATAACTTTTATTCACTTTTTAATTACAAATTTCTATAGACCATCAACTATATAGTAGCTAAAAATGTACTTTAAACAAACACTATGTGTTTCTTTTCAAAAAAGAAAAATTAAATAATTGCTCCCGAAAGATGTGCAGTGACAAAGGGAAAAGTCGATCCCTCTATAAAATAATAAAATAAAAGGCAACAATTGCTTGCATAAAAAAATAAAAATCTCTCTACACATTAAGCTTTGTTATGCATAAGATGTTTATTATGAATAGAGAATATTTTGGAGGATGTTCATGGTTCTTCTTGTAAATCTTTATTTTGTTGAGGGCAAATTGGGAAAATTGATCAATTAGGGTTTCTCGCACCTCTCTTTTACTGAAATATATATATATAGTTAGTGCAGGACTACCGAATTCAAGAGGAGGCCTAAATCCTTTCCAGTCACTCTCAACTCATTTACTTCAATTCATTTCACGATCTGTGAAACCCTAAATTTTTTAATATAATAGATAAATGAGGAGTAGCGAATTGTGGAAATCTCAGCTTTGATTGAAAAAGGTGCCCTTTTACATTCAATTTTTTCGATTATATTCTCGTTTTAGTGATTTAGAGTTTCTTAATTTATAGATGTTGTGGATCTCTATTAGAATGATTAAATTTGTGAACTTGTCCGTTGGAGTTCATGGGATAATTATGTAAATGTGATACTTTGTAGATTAGTAATGATTTATCATCTTGAATGTGAGTACGTTTTATATTCATCTTTGATTCATACTTTTCCACAAAAGTAAATTAAAAATGCTTCTGTTTGAAATTCCATTGCTAAGAATATTGAAATACCTTTTTAATGCAGCTTTGCTAACATACTTGAAGATTAAGACGAGACGACCAATTACATCCCCAATGGAGTTCCATAACTTACAGCAATGGTTTGCATCCATTGTGAAAAATTCTTCTTTGCAGATAGCGGGAATTCCATATCCTTGAGCACTCCATTGTGGACTAAGTAATTGATCAAGAGACTGTTGAACATTGAAGAAGGCAGTTATTGGTGTTGAGCGAATTCTTAGAGTGTAGAATGATATCAATTGTTGGGACACTAAGTATGGGTAAGATTACTCTAGCCTCGAGAATTTATACGAATGTCACAACTAGGTTTGATTGTTTTGCATTAATCTATGTCTTGCGAGTCAAGAAATGACCAGTAAATTGAAATTTAGCTCTCTCCCCAAATTTCTTCAAATGTTCCATTATTTCTGGCATGAATTTCTCATATATTCCCTTTGCAGCCTCTTAAATTCCTCTATGAACGGGCACATCTGTTCCCTGTTATAAATGGAAGTACTCCTGTTGATTCTACTTCTCTCTTTCCTTAGGGCTCTCTTAACTATTTAGAGGATGATTTTGAAAGTCTTACCTCGAATTTGGTGGGTTCGAATAAGAGATTTGCCTGCCATGATGCCATTGAGTCCGATCCCTGCAATTCATCAACAACAGGTTTATCAAGCTATGGGCAATACTCTCAACTTAGATCTCTCTTGAATTCTAAGTAATATATAGTTCTATGACCACATGTCCAACAATCTTTCTGAAATTCATTTTTGCAGTATATTTCTACTATATTTACATCACTCAATATTTATATTCGAAGTCGGTGTGAATACAATCCTGGATAATATATGGCATTACCTGGATTACAAAACAGCGAGTGTGTATCTTTGAATCATCACAAACAAACCAATCACTAGGAGAGGAATGAAGTGACTGAAGATCCCTTGCTGCCTCTTGTTTTTGCTTCTCATCTGCGGCAACGACTGCTGTCATTGTTGAAGCTGCTACACATGCTGCCATCTCTGATTTGTGAACATGTTGGTTTGCAGTCTCTTCATCCATTTCCTGGTGCTCATCTCTTCCCCCTAAGGAAACATCAAATGTAAGTTGGGGTTCAGACCCCAAGGATATCAGGTCCTTAGCACGAGATTGGAGATAAGATGCAGCTGCCACTGCAATTTCATAAGCAGCAGATGAACGAGTGTAGCGTCTTTGTTCAGAATTATCCTTTTTTTCTGAAAGAGGATCGGTCATTGCTGGTGTTGTTACAGGTACACTAGTGGAATCCTGCTCAATTTTAACCTTTATAGCTGCTGTTTCTGCCTTCTTCTCTAGGGAAGATGTTACGAAGTCTAGTCCACAATATCTCCTTAAATCCCCCGTCTGCATGTTTTTGGAACAAAGTTAATTTACTTTTAAGTGATTCAACTAGGTTCATGCATTATCTTCTCAAAGCGTAATATAAACTATTTATGGATTATCGTTGTCTAAATGAAGGAGATGAAACTAAACACAATAGCAGTTAAGAGGGCTCAGGATTATTATTTTTTTCTATTTTGTAAGTTCATTTTTGGGAAGGTCCTTTATTTATACCATCCTGTTGAAATTTCATTTGACAGTATTGTTGTTTAACGAGCTTAACCGTTCTAGATTTGTGTTACATTGTGCTAATATGATACAAGTGGCTGTAAAGAATATAAGGTTGGGATAGCAATGCCCTTACAGGGACTACAGTGGTGCCTCAAGGACATGACTGCAGATCTTGTTTCTTTAAGTTGTAGAGGGCAAATTCAGGCTGCGACTTGGGGAATGTTTTCTGATGACCTTGCCTAATGCTCAGGAAACGGAAATATAGCGATGGCAAAAATTTACAACGAGGATTAGTTGCCGATGGGCTATATGCACCATTTTGGACATGCACAAGGGGAAGAAGATGAAAAAAGCATAGAACGAGGTTTTAAAGCCGAAGCTTGTTCTTTCAGGCATGCCACTTTGTGTTATACTGGTTAATTCTATTTACAAAATGCCTGTCAATTCTATCTTAGATGAGGAAGTTTACAAAGTTTTATAAGGTGGATTTGACAATACTAGATAGAATTTAAGAAGAAAAAGAAGTTAAAATCTCGTCTACTGTATCGTTTACTTGTGTTAAGAACCAAGTGTACTTGTGATGCAATTAATAAACATACCTTGATATCTGTAATCACGTATGCCAGGTTAGACAAGAAGGCCAGCTGAGAAAATAGCTTAGCATCTGACCAGGATACATGTTTCAACAAGGCCGAGAATGTTTCTCTATCTATATGGATATCAACCTCATCGTTTCCATAATCCGCTTCACAACCTCCATCTTCATCACAATCTTTCTCATTTTCTTTGACAACATTTCCTTCATCTTTCAGTTGTTTCTCTTTCCAGATATTTCGGATTTCTAGAAGTTTTTCGACCCAATTCAATCTCTTCTTCTCCACATCCATCTCCTCGTGGTCATCTACTTCTACCATGTTCTGCTCCATTTTTCTCTCTTTGCTCGTCTCTGGATCAAACAAAAACGATCGAAAAGTATCTGACAATGGAATATTGAAGAAACTCATGGAACGGCTGTTCTTTAGCTTTGGTTCTGTCGTTGAAGACTGAATATGACTTTTATAACAACATAGATGGTTTTCTGAGTATGATCTTCGCATTCCCGTTCTCTGACACAGTTCTTTACTTGAAAATGAGCGACGAAGCCTGCCTTCTTCTTTAAGCACATTATTGCAGGCGGCATTGGTAATTTGAGAGCTTGTTATGGATGACAAAGTGCATGCCATTTCTGCTGATTCTTCTCGCAGGTTTAGTACCTTAAGAAAGTAGAAAATCAGTCAGTCTTCGTGTTGCTGCCTAGAAACTTCAGAAGATACAAATTTAGTTTCTGATTGTATTATAATCACCGGGGGGGCGGGGGGAATTATTAATGCCACATAGAATGTGTTTTCATCTCCACTGGGATGAATAACATTACTCCAAGTATTAAAATGAAAAAAGTCTTTACATTTCTTGGAATCATTGTATTGTGTCTTTAATTCTCTATTCTGTGGTGTTCANTCTCTATTTTAAAGAGTCAATATTTAAAATCATGTTTCAAGAGACTCTTTAAATTAACATTTTAATTTAGAGAGTGGGTTTGACCCTCCAAACATTTTAATTTGGAGAGTCAAACTCACTCTCTATAATTAAATGCATTCAAAGTGTTTCAATTTTCAAAGTAGAAAAACAATAAAATAATCTAAAGAAAAACTAGATAAAATAAAATATAAACAAAAATAATAAATATTTTTTGGGAGCAATAAAATTAAGTGTTTCTCAATTCCAATCCATTTAGTCTTTCTTCGAAATTCCTTTATTGGATTCGGATCTCGGGTCAACAGGTTCTAACTGCTGGATCATACTCAAGTTTCATAACTTTTGGCCTGCTATTTCGATCATGATTTTTCTAGTTTCCTCTTAAAGATGCTCCCTTTCTGGCAAATCGTAGGCGAAGAGGGATTTAAAACCTCCCAACACGTGCTCTAATCCTCTGATCTACATGCCTCACCTTGTATCCACTAGATTAAAAACTAAAGCCGTCAATTTTAGAATCACTTTGGTTGCTCAAGAACTTATTTGTTGATAAAAAGTGATCTCAAAGAGATTCAAAACTAAATCAAAATCATTTGATGATTAAGAAAAAAATGTTGGGGGTGACTTGTAGGGAATTCCATGTTTCCTTGTGAGCAAATAAGTCCAACTACATAACGTCTGAACTGAGAATAATGAATAATCACTAAAAGAAATGTATAAATTCAACTACATAATTAATTACCTTGAAACTTTTGACGATTTGAAGGTGGTTACATAATTAATTCATGATGCTCCTTGCATCAATGTATTTCTCCAGAAAATGGCTAGAAATCCTTGTAGTTGTTGCAGCAATAAAAACTTCAAGAAATGGAAGCAGAAATTCTTGAGAGATCCCAATAACAATGTAACAACTCTAAATGCAATGTTTATATATACATGGGAGGTCTTTTGCTGAGATTTGCACGTGTTTTTTTGGTGTATTCAGACAAGTTTGTGGGATGTGTTCTTGTTTTTTATACTATGTACATGCATTATGAATTTCTATGTGAGATCTATTTTGATCTATGCATATGTTTCAGGGTAGGGGTGGAGTGGGGGAGGGGGGGTGGGGGTGCCGGGGGGGGTGAAGAATCTCCTGACAAGGACAATGAACATGAGCACTTGTTACATTTGAATCTTTCTTATTTTCTTGGACTTATTTGCCCATAAGGAAAAATGGAATTCCCTACAAGTCATCTCAACTTTGAAGAATTTCCTTTCCCTTTAGTGGTTGATTGGAAATTAAGGGTTTCAATAAAGAAAGATACGTGTAATGTTTGATCACATAATCAGACATTTCAAAATAAACGAAGGTAAAATTTATGTCTTGTATTTATCAGTATAATCTAACAACGTGTTAAACTCTTAACAATTTTCTATTTCAATGTCGTAATCTGAAGAGATGAAAATATTCTTAAACCCGAGTTCGTTCACAAGTCGAATCATAAAAAAATAATAAATTTCGTATTAGATTAAGTGATCGTTCAATAATCAAAACGATTCGACTATACAAGTCATTATCAACAACTAATTTCAATAATTAGTAACCATTGGCCCACTGGAAAGCTTGTTTAGGGGAAAAAAATCATGACTTTGAAAATCAAATTTTCATTTGACTTAATAGACTTAATTGTACTTTCAAGTAATGGAAAGGGCATTTTAGGCATTCAAGATAATAGTGGCAGTTGAGAGATTTTAAAGAGTAATGAAAAAAAGAAGGGTATAATTGTAAATTAAGAAAGGCAATAGCCAAATGTGCGGTTGCATGGATTAGAGAGACTATATAAGCAACACATGTTGATGGTTCTGGACAGAAATACAATTGGAGTAACACCACCATCAAACCATGCTCTTCGCCCTCGGTATTCCCCATTGAATTATAATTCATTTTTATCTCACTTTTTATCAATCACTTATTTTTCAATAAAATAATATTATATGTAAACTCAGGGACGGATCTATGATAGGATTACAAGTCGGACTAATACGTAAACCTGCAGTAAACTCAAAAAAAATTCTTTCTTTTTAACTACATATTTTCTAAAAAATTATTATTTCTCTCATTATAATGTGGAATAATGAAGGTCAAACACGCACTTAAAATATCTTATAGCCTACTTAAAGAAATTGGACATTCTAAATGATATTAATTTTTATCATATGTTGACCCGGAAATTTATTAATTTTAGTAAATTACTTGAAAGACAATCCCACCTCGTACCCAAAATCCACGTTCAAACATGTATAAGACTACATTCGACAATCGACAAATACAACATGTTTGACATCTTTAAGTTCACCAGCATATATACGATGATGATTTAACTCGCGCAAGCAATGTGTTGTCCATAATAGGAAAATGAAAGAGTATACACTATGGACATGTTTAGTAGTGCTGCAAAATCACTACAAAAAACCATGCAAATGTAATGCTGAACCACTACATCGTGCCTCAACTTTGCCCACATAGGCTCTATTCACAGGTGTTGCGCATCCACAAACAGATCTGTGGCTGCGTGTAATATCGACGTTATTTGTGGCTGCTTGCCTTCGATGTCACCCGACGCCGTGTGAAGAGACAGGGTGCACTAGAGATGCCATGTTGTGCTAAGGATGGGGAAGAGAGAGAGAGAGAGATGAGGGGAATGGTTTGGAATCTCCGCCGCCCATTTGCCCTGATCGGGATCTCTAGAGAAGAGAGAGAGGCGGGGAAGAGAGGTTAGATGAAATAGATGAATTAAAATTTGATTTTTGTATAAACAAAGTTTATATCTGAAATTTGAAATTGAAAATTTAAAATTCTGATTTTGTGTAATTTTCACAAAAAAAAAAAAAGAAAAAAAAAAGTTAAATGCCTAAATAGAAACAATTAAACCCAGCCCAATACCCATCTCTCTACGTATATCTAACTATCCACCTTCTCCTTCTCTACAGAAAGTTTCCTTCAATTGTAGGTATTTGTTCTTCGATTCTAGAGTTAAATGTTTAATTGACCACTGAAGTTTGCACCATGTCACGATTTATTTATCGCACTTCATTAATTATCCCATTGACCATTGAAATTTGCTCCGTCCAACTTCATCACCCACCCGATAAAAATCGTTAATAGACATGCTGACGTGGCAAACGAAAAAAAAAAAAGAAGACGTGGCCGGTTAACTCCTTCCAAGTAGTAAGTGATTTGCCAACTCAACTTCCATGTCAGCAAAGGCACGTCCAAACACGGCTTTACCAATTTTATTTCACACGACTTTACAAAATCGTAGCCCAATTAGCGTGAAGTCTCTCCTCTCAAATCAATTGATCCCATTCGCGAAGAACCCTGTGTCTGAACCAAGAACCTCCCAAGATCTCTCAAACCCTAACATCATGAAATCTATTCTCCCAAATCTCACGCGATTCTGGAAACCATTCAATTCGTTCGGGTAATTTCCATCGTACCCTCGGTATCCCGAATCAGGTCATCTAATTTTTGTGAGCTTCAAATTCATCTACAGATAAAAAGGTAATTTTTGTTCCTGTTTGTTGTAAAATTGTTCCTATGGTAGGACACAATTTGATTTTTGAATGGAAAATTGATTTTGTTCGTAACTCATTTTATTTTTTGCATGCATCTTCTTCTTTCCGATCAATGGTCAAGAAGATTTTACCATTACACCATTTTCTAGTCGTTAATGGAGGAAAAACATGTTTATACAATTCCTCCCCATAATCCAATTCACACTCATTTTTAAGCTGCAATTTTATTATTTTATTTTATTATTTCAAACTAATGAATTTGGCTATTTAGCTAATAGAGTGTCTGAGAAAATTGCAGTAGCAATTGCAGTAATTTTGTGAAAATTTTCTCCTTTTTGTCATTTGATTTTGACAGTGCATATGCATGCATGTTAACCGCAATTTTTTTATTGAGTGGGTCTATGTATTGCCAATGTGATTAGCATAACTCCATGTCTGCCAATTGATGTGTGGGTGAGTAGTAAGCATAGATGTTAACTGCAATTTTTGTATTGAGTGATAATTTTATTGTTCGTGGCTGCAATAGCGCATTTGTCATAGCTGTAGAAAATGCTGCGCTAAATACAATTTTGGTCGGGTGAAACATGTTTATTCATTGGTCACATGAAAATACAATTTGTCCGCGTTTTTAATCTTTGGAAGGAGGAATGTTTAAGATGTTATAAAAAGAAAAAAAAAGAACTTACAAGACATAAATTGAGTGTTAAGTAACAAGTAAAAAATAATGTGAAGGGCAACAATGTAATGGTATCATTTACGAGTCTGGACATCAGATATAACTCTACTCTAATCTCCGATTGCTTCCCTCCTTCGCCTGCCCCAAATAAATAAACAATGTACAATCTCAATAAATGTAAAATCCGGCAAGTGAGGGGGGAAGCAAACACTTTATACTCCGGCAAGTGAGGGGGGAAGCAAACACTACTACCACCACATAAATCCAAACGCTGAATTAAAAGCAAAAAAAATCATTTCTTCAAGATTTGTTTCACAATAAACTTCCAGAATTGATTATACAATCTTCATCAACATCGAAATGAATGATCTGTTGGCCCTTTTTTCTGGTGAGCGTCAGGCAAAACTGCCAAATCCTTTCGTTATTCTCCGACCTGCTGAACTGACACAGTTAAAAGCAATATTAGCAACTAGCCAA